GAAATATCATTTTCGAGAAATTATTGAAAAGAGCCTTGATTAGCTCGCCGCTCCGAGCCTTGTGGACTGGACAGCAAATCATTTTCGGGAAATGTCGTTTTCGAGAAGTCATTGAAAAGAGCCCTGATTGGCTCCTTGCTCTCTGCCAAATGAAAGCTAACGTTCCCTCTCTGGCGGCTTCGCCGCTCTTCTGATTGCGCGGAGGTGAGCTGATCCGAAGAGAACGGTAAGAGGATTGAACATTCTTGCGTGACACGGAGGGATCAATTYCGACCGAGATTACTGTGAAATTTTCGCAAAGGAAAAGATCTTAAAATGGCCTGTGGTTAAGGACCAAGAGTGACCTTGCTGAAAGGGACAACCCTGCTGGTCGCTGAGGACCTCGGAAGCGGGCGCGGCGAAGTGACAGGCGCCGTAGTCCACGGCTTCAGCGAACGGTAGGTAACTCCTCCCCGGGTTTCCTCACAGCGTGGCATCTGCAAATCATGTGGTTCATCGTCGAGAGCGGGATGTCGTTCAACTGCACGAAGCTTGAAAGCTTCAAACGCATTTTCACGATGATAATCCCGCCGGGGGTTCCAGGGGCGCCCGCGCCTAGACTTCCCTCCTACCATATGCTGCACACGACCCTTTTGGACGAGCAGGATGGTGAGGTCCAGAAGTGTGTTCGTCCGGTGCTTGACACGTCGAAAGAGACCGGTTGCACAATCATGACCGATGGTTGGACCAACATCCGTGGTGAGACGTTGTGCAACTACCTTGTTGGGACAAAGATCGGGGTAGCGTATGTAGCCACCGACGTCATGCACGGCAAAAAGGACGCCAGTGCCCTCGCGAACACATGGTTGAAAAGGGTGAAGTCCATGGATATTGAATTGAGCGGCATCACAACGTTCGTGACGGACTCCGCCGGGGTGAACGTTGCGGCGATGGAGGTATTCCAAAAAGATGAGAGCGTGAAACACATCTTCTGGATTCGTTGCGTCGCCCACATCATGGACCTCATTCTCGAGGACATCGGCGGGATTGATTGGGTGGCTTACCGCATTGCGCAAGCGAGGCTGGTTACACGGTTCTTCAAGCACCATAGACATGTGAGAGAGGTTTTTGAGGCGTACTCGAAGAAGACTCTTCAGCTACCGGCGGAGACGCGTTTCGGCACGAACGTCATCATGATGATGAGGCAGGTGGAACTGCGGGCAGAGTTGACACAGGTTGTGGGCGACGATCGCTGGCGTGAGAATGTTTGGTCGACCAGCAAGATCCGGAAGGACGCCGCGGAGGTCACTGTGTGTATCGGCTCCCCTCCATGGTGGGAGGATTTGAGAGCTCTGTGCAAGATGCTCGAGCCCATCATGGACAAGCCGAGGTTGGTGGACAGCAACACACACCAGATTAGCAAGATTCTGTGACGTTACAAGGAGACGACTGCATCTTGTTTATCCGCATGTCGTGACATTGATCGGGACCAGCAGGACGCTATTGTGGAGGTGTTCCTCAGGCGGCGCACCATGTTCAAGACCCCAGCCCACACGGCAGCCATGCTGCTAGATCCAGAGTTCCGGGACGCGACGCTGCGTGACGATGCGGAGGTGCAGCAGGCCTTGGTTGAGGCCCTGGTCCAGTTCGGCTACCCGGAGGGATCGCCGCAGCACCGGGAGGTCCAACGAGCGGTCGCCAAGCTCCACACGAGGGAGCCCCCTTTCGATGAGCTCACCATGCGGCGAGCTGTGGATATCTTTGATCACCTTGCCAGTTTTTGGTCCTCTAAGAAGGCGAAGTTCCCTCACACGGCCGTGTTTGCAGGCAGGATCGTTCGTATATGGGCGATTGCATCACCGTGCGAGAGAGCCTGGTCTCGTTAGAGCTTCATTCATTCAAAGTCTCGCAACAGGTTGGAGGTTCCCCGGGTTGAGAAGCTTGTGCGGTGCCACTGGAACCTCAGGCTACTCGATCAACCTTCCTTGTGCGACGACGGTGTTGGAGAGAGGCCCGGCATCTTCGGGAAATGGGTGCATTATTGGGAGGCCGTGGAGGACGAGGCGGTCGTGGACCAGCAGCTCATCAGAGGCACCGGTGCGCTTGCAAAGGTGACCGAGGAGGAGTTGAGCCTCGCCAGAGAGAGGATGCGCACCGTTTCCCGCGTGGGAGCCGAGCGTCGGGTGGCGGATTCGGACAGGAGGCGACGCAGGGCCGGAGGTCGGGGACGTGGCGGCCGTGGACGAGCAGGTATGGGAGGACGGACACGTGGCGATGTGGGTTCCGCTCCTCAGACTCGGCGACAAAGGACGGATGGTTGCATTTGCAGGGCCCGCATGCGTTGGGATGAGGGTGACTTCTTGTTCGACAACACATCTAGCGACGACGACGATTTCTTTGCGTCGGGAACACATGCAGCCACGGGTGATGATAGAGGTGACGCTGACGACAGAGGCGATGATAGAGGCGATGGTGACGACGGAGGTGATGGCGCAGGGCCCGGGGGAGGGGGAGGGGGAGG